CCATGCCCGGCTAATTTTTTGATTTATTGTAGAGATGAGGTCTTGCCAAGTTGCCCCGGCGGGTGTCGAACCAGTGGGCTCAGGCAATCCACTCACCTTGGCCTCCCAAAGCGCGGGATTACAGGCTGAGCCACCAAGCCCGGCCCTAAACCATGTCTTAAACATGGTTTAGTACAGCACTGGAATGGAAAAGGGTCTCAGGAGGGAATCCTTCACATGGACCCAGTGCTGTTTGGCCCATTCTTCTCTATCAGCTCCACTTATCCAGGTAGCAGAGGCGGGTGGGGATGGTCACAACAGGATGCCAGCCTAAGATCTTATCCTCTTTCCCCAGCCACATGCAACAAGCTGCCACCTCTCCCTAGCCCTAATGGGCGAAACCACATGCACCTGGCTCTTCCCCCTTGGGTTCTCCACCAAGCAAAGTCAGGAGAGTAAAGGTCACTCTGGTGTCCAAGTATAAACCATGAAACCCCTTGGTTCATCTGGCATTTTGCTAAGATAAAAACTGGTCTTGAGAAGCAAGAACACGTTCCCTCACTGATTGCTCATCATGGGTGGGCCCTAGGCTGGACACTTCAAACACCTCACCTGAACGGACCCTCCCAACACAAACACCTCACCTGAACGGACCCTCCCAACACCCTGTGAGGTGCAGGCTGCCATTACTCCCCTCTTGTGGACAGAACTGAAGCTCAGACTGGTTAAGTGACTCACTCAAAGTCACACAGTTAAAAGTTGTACAGTCAAGGATTTCTTTTTTTCTTTCGAGTGGAGGCCTCGCTCTGTTGAATAGGCTGGAGTACAGTGGCATGATCATCACGGCTCACCACATCCCCAACCTCATGGGCTCAGGTGATCATTCTGCCTCAGTCTTTAGAGTAGCTGGGACTACATGTATGTGTCAACACAACTGACTAATTTTTGTGTTTTTTTTTTGTTTTTTTTTTTTGAGTTGGAGTCTCACTCTGTCGCCCAGACTGGAGTACAGTGGTCGCTCCCAGCCACCGCAGCCACGACCTGCTGGGCTCTGGCAATCCTTCCGCCTCAGCCTTCAAAGTAGCTGGAACTACAGGCACGCACTATCACCCAGTTGATTTTTTGATTTATTGTAGAGATGAGGTCTCGCCAAGTTGCCCAGGCGGGTCTCGAACCGCGGGCTCAGGCAATCTGCTCACCTCAAGCCTCCCAAGGCGCGGGATTACAGGCTGAGCCACCGAGCCCGGCATCCTTATGATTCTTAACAACATTTTCTTTTCTCTAGCTTATTCTAAGAATAATGACTTTATGTTATTGCTGAGGCTTCTGGTCCACAGAAGGCTATTAGTAGCTTAAGTTTTAGGGGAGTTAAAAGTTGTACATGAATTTGTGTAGGAGTTGGCTCCCCTAACCCCTATGTTGTTCAAGGATCAACTATATATCCAAAAAAATTAAAAACAAGATCTCAAAGAGATATGTGCATACCCATGTTCACTACAGCATTATTCGCAATAGTCAAGAGGTGAAAGCAACTTAAATGTCCATCAACAGAAAAATGAATAAAGAAAATGTGATGTATATATACAATGGAGTGTTATTCAGCCTTTAAAGAGAAGGAAGCTGTCATATGCTACAACATGGATGAACCTTTAGGGCATTATGATAAGGTTTATAAATAAGCCAGTCACAAAAAGACAAATACTACATGATTTTGCTTATATGAGGTACCTGAATTAGTCAAGCTATATTTTTCTTTTCTCTCTCTCTCTCTCTTTTTTTTGGGGGGGATTGGAGACGGGGTCTTGCTATGTTGTCTAGACTGGACTCTAACTCCTGGCCTCAAGCAATCCTGCCTTGGCCTTTCCAAGCACTGGGATTACAGGTATGAATCACCGCGCCCAGTCAGACTCTTAAAAACTGAAAGTGGAATGCTGGTTGCCAGGGGCTAGGGGAGAGGAAAGGGGAAGTCGTTGTTCAATGGGTATAGAGTTATAGTTTTACAAAATGAAAACCTTCTAAAGATAAGCTACACAATAATGTACAAATAATACTACTGCACTGTATACTTAAAAAATTAAGATGGACTATGTACGGTGGCTTACGCTTATAATCCCAGCTCTTTGGGGAGGATGAGGTGGGAGGACTGAATCCAGGAGTATGAGACCAGTCTGAACAACATAGTGAGACCTCTTCTCTACTCAAAAAAAAATTTTTTTTTTTAGTTGGAGTCTCACTCTGTCACCTAGGCTGGAGTGCAGTGGAACACTGATGGACACTGCAGCCTCAATCTGCTGCAGTGCAGTAGCACGACCATGGATCACTGCAACTTCAACCTCCTGGGCTCAGGGAATCCTTCCACCTTAGTCTTTTTTATTTATTGCAGAGATGATGTCTCACCTTGTTGCTGAGGCTGGTCTCGAACCCCTGGGCTCAGGGAATCCTCTTGCCTCTGCCTCCCAATGTGCTGGGATTACAGGCGTGAGCCACTGTGCCCAGCTTCTCTACAAAAAAATTTTTTTTTGAGTTGGAGTCTCACTCTGTCACCCAGACTGGAGGGCAGTGGCACGCTCCCGGCCACCGCAGCCTTGA